CATTCAAGTCTTAAAGCTGTCAAGTTACAAGATCCTTGCCAGTGGTGGGTTTCAAAAATGTTTGGAACCTCTTCTGTAGGTGTGGCCTGCTTTCCGGGTCCACTTGTGGAACCCCTTCTAACCGGTTCGGTAGATTTGACGAACCGGTTCTACCGAATAGGTGCGAACTGGTAGGAACCCACCTCTGATAAGTGGGTGGTGACCAATAGTCAAGGACAAATTATTGAAGAAATTCAGTTGAATTTCCTAAGTTTCTTTAGCCAACTCTAATTTAAGTAATATTTACCATGATTCTAAAGTTGCAGTGTCCAATGGTAAGCAAATTACCTTTTGAAATTGTGAAATTCTTCTATTTATGAATCTCATTTTACACAAGTGTATTTTGTCTATATTTGCAGAATGGGCAAAATTAACCCTATGTTCAATTTTTACCTTTGAGGGAAATCAGTTTTTCTAACAATTGTTTCTGGATGAAATATGAGGGATATGCACATGTAAGGCAGGATTTTCCCCGAAGAAACTTTAAACAGACCTTAACTATAGGAAGACTTTTGAGATATGAAATTCAAAATCTGATGATATTAAGGGTATCGTTCAGGGATGTAAACTGTTCCCAGTAAACCTGTTTTTTGCAGTTGATTGATGGTGGTATTATCAATGCCGAGGGTGTTCGTTCAAGTGGTGCTCCAGCTCTTTTGGCATTGCCCCCAAGGTGCCTTAATATTATTGGTATTTTTGCTTTCTTTTGCCACATTCTATTGTGGGGGGTCTTTGAATTTTGTGATTTTTCTCTCTCCAGTTCTTTCTCTTTTATTCTGCTGTCTCCAGGTACTACAACAGCCACTTATCCAGATTTTTGTTTTCTCTTTTCCACAATTCTATTCTGTCTCCAAGCAGCATCCAGACTTTTTTGTCTTTATAATTGATAATTGCTACGTTTGGGGTGTTATATGGCAGGTGCTTATCTGTTTTAACTTTAAAATACCAGAACACTTTCGGTTCTTCATTTTCTATTACATTCTATTTTGTGGTCCCACCAGATTTTGCTTGCGAGCAAATGGTATTTCTTGCAAATTCCACTGCAATCTTCTTGCACAGTTAACTTAGGTGATCAACTTTTCTTCACCATTTTTACAGAAGTGCTATCTGTCTTCCCAAATCTGACTATATATGTGTGTTTTTAAAACCCACTTTTGGAACTAATAATACAGTAAATTCCAGATTAGCCTAATCTATGGTTCAGGCAGCAAAACAATGTTTATATGATTGTGGTATTTATTAGTTCTAGAAGTGTTTTTCTCCCCTTATTTTATCTTAGGAATCTTATTTTACCTTTTCTTTAGAACTCACACAAGCCTTGTTCATCTATGTATAGTAATTAATTTTATATTCTTTCTCAGTGTATAAGGAACTTAACCATTGCTAGTTCGTCTTATTTCGGGGTTTGTACTTTTACCCTATACTTGCACTATATATTCTTAGAAAATATATTATTTTAATCTGATGTACTAATTTATTATTTGTAATACAATAAATTATATTTATTATATTATAGGGAGTTGTGTTTGAAACCAGGATAAGAACATTACGGTATTTTTTGGAGTATAAGACGCACCAAGCTTTTGAAGAGGCAATTTTTTAAAAAAGTAGGTAGGTAGATAGAGGGGGAGAAATACAGTAGGTAGGTAGGGAGAGAGAGTAGGTAGGTAGATAGATAGAGGGAGAGAGAGAGAAATACAGTAGATAGGGAGGGAGAGAGAATAAGTAGGTAGGTAGGTAGATAGAGGGATAGAGAGAGAGAAATACAGTAGGTAGGGAGGGAGGGAGAGAGAGAGTAGGTAGGTAGGTAGGTAGATAGAGGGAGAGAGAGAAAGAGAGAGATAGAAATACAGTAGGTAGGAAGAGAGAGAGAGAGTAGGTAGGTAGGTAGGTAGATGTTCCAGGTGTATTTATCCGTGTGCTGGAGAAGGAAATCACTGACAATCTGCAGCACCTAAGACTTGTTTCTGCTGGCACAGCACTTGATCAATCTAATTCTCATCAATCACCCTAACTAAAGAGCTTTCCAAAAGAGGGAAAAAAAGTTTTGCACTCTGCAAACCTCCCCAAAACGGCCCATTTTTTGAAAAAACGGGCCCTTTTTTCCAAATAAAAGGCATGAGTA